CTTCCGAAACGTCGTGATTTTAAAGAACAGACGATGGAAAAAGTCTTTACAACGAATAATTTTAAGATGTTCCTATGTTCCTCAGTATCTCGTTAGATGTCGGGATTCGGTTTCTACCAGTTTCTTTTTTGCCGGCATTGGCAACTTTGATCCACACACACACACCGGTCTTGACATGAATCACTTTGCGGTTTCCAGGAAACTCATCTATCAAAATAACGCTTCATCCTAACATATGATTCCATGCACATTTTCCATGTAACAGAACACGCTGCTTTTAATATGTTCCTTCTCACACCCCCTCCCCTTAGTTCTGTTGTTGATTAGCTGGTACTCACCCTCCAGCCCGTTCTATATCATCAATCCCTTTGTTATAATTTAAATCACGATATGTCAAAATTGCTTAAACATAGCAAACAAGAAGGGCAATTAGCTGCAGATTAATTACTATATAAATGGTTATATAAAGGTTGATGGAGAAACTATTAGATAGTGGGGAGCTGAGAGGAGAGGGGGGAACGAGTGTAGTGGATTCGCTACAATTGATTAAAAACAGTTGGGCAAAACGAAACATTGCAAACTTGGTTTTTTTTTTTTTACTTTGTTGAACTTGCTGGATTTTATACTTAAAAGCTTCGCCTAATAAATGTTCGCCATATGTTTCTCTGTAAGTGAATATTTTTCAGAAACTTATCGACAATGATACGACGCACTTTAAAGTACCAGAAGGATCGGAACTTAAAAATTTCTTACTAATTACGTCTTACATTTCCCAAATTCGTTTGCCTTAGTTTTAAACCGTTCTGTATGTTCTTTTTCAACCAATATATGAAGTTTTAAATGTCAAATCATTGTTCAGGGCTTAATTCTTAATACATGCAATTAACTTAATTCGAAATCCGTTTACAATCTGCTGTCCATTAGGCTCTGATGTGTCATTATGATTTTAGTCTCATAACGCTGAACTAATTTGTTAATATCCGTACACCCGTACAACATATTTCACATTCAGACGTTACTGGAGAGCTGCCATGTGCACAGAACAACAAAAGACGCAGAAATATGTCATAATGTTTATTACTTCTGGTGTTACTAGTAATAACAGGTTAATTTTTAACCGTTGTCATGCCAGTATTGTGTCTACGTGACGCATAACACGAATTATTTCCGAAAATTTGTATCCAGTCTGTTTAATTATTTCTTAAATAGACTGTCCGTGTTTGCACGCACTAAGTGTGTATCATCAGTGCGTGAATATACTGGTGTAAAGTCTGTATGTCTCTACAAAGTTCGTTTTATTACTGCAAAGTTCTAGGAATTTAATGGCGTTCCTTATCCTGAAAGCAGGCACTGAATGTCACGCAAAAACCAAATTAAATTATATTCTATTTTTAAAAGTCATTAACTCGATGTAAAGAAAAGAAATGAAATAATGTTGTCGTTTCTATGACAATGAAAGTTAATAGTTTGTGTGAACCTACTTACTACAATACATACAGAATTTATATCGTGCATTCACAAAATGTGTCAGAATTCTTAGTTCAAAAGAAGCCGCAGGTGGATTTTTGACAGTAGCTTCACAGCCAAAACCTTGCGTGCTTTATGGTTCTTACATTCTGTGAAATTGTTTTCATAGTCCAGCCATTTGTAACAAATACTAGTCAGCCGTCATCTACAAATAAGTCACAAACTTAACGTGTAAGTTCGTAACTGAAAGCATGATTATTATTAAAATGTAAAGAGAATTTTTATTTAAGAGAATTAGGGTTAATATTCATTTTAACGTTCTTTTTGTGTCGATGCCATCTGCTAAAAAAAGAAATCTTGTATGGGATATAAGAATCAAAATTTAATAAAACTTTTTCACAGAAATCACTATCAGTTCTCCAAAAGGGACTTCAAATTGCATTGTTGGTCTCACAGCTTTCAGGTATAAAATCATCCAACCAAAGGCGAAGTGGTTCTGCTGGTGGTAATATTGGTCAATATGACATTCGAAAAATAAAACAACACTTATTGTAGACTAGTTCGGTTTGTTAGGCTGACTGAAGAAAGAATCTGCCCTCCAGAAATCTCACAAGTTGAATGGAAATTAAATTCTGCACTGTCTTCTCAAGGTAGAAAAGTCTCAAGTGTCCCCATATTATCCAATAAAGACAGCATTGAAAACGAAATAAAGGTGAAATTAGACAATAGATATTGTCACAAAGGAATTATTTGGACGATTCTTAAATCTGTCTGTAGCTTCTTGCTGAAAAGTAATACAATACATACTTATTAATATACACTCCATCGACCCAAAAGTTGGTCCGAATGACAATACTATGTGGAATAAATAATAGAATTCATCCGCGGTTAAATTCAATGCAGTCTTCACAGGCATTAAGCCGCTTCAGGAGGTTGTAAAAAACCGACGTTTCGAGAGTCGTCTCCGGCATCATCAGGAAACTGATCTTATTAGATTCATCTCAGAACGTTGGTTTTTACGACCACCGGACGCAGCTGACTTCCTTCGACGGTTTTTTTAATCAATAAGACAATTTCTGAAATTATAATTAGGTCAATTAACTAGCAGCTTAGTTTCTTAATTAATTAGTATACATCTTAATCAATAATTCAGTTAGTCGGCTGCTGAGTTTGGAACAAAATGCAAAACGCAACACCGTTATCAGATCTGATTTTCTCAAGGTGATTAAGACATCGGTCAGGTCTGCTGGTTAGGTAACGACTGCTATAGGAATGTATGGAATCACAACCCAGAAGTCGACCATCGACACCTTTCACTGTGACAGTCTCAAATCTCAAGATCGTCCTCAGTTTTAAATTTATATATTTTTTTGTAATCCCGTATCCGTTTGCAGTAGTGAGAGAACTTGTAGGAACCTTTTACGAGAATTGCAGATTGTCTACAAACAAAGGAGACGCTGGCTGAACTCGTAACACGAGCGGTTACCATAGTAATGAAATATGGTGAAGTGCACCATGTCTCTCGTTGCGACACGAGCAACGTCTCCCGAACAAGAAGCTTAACCAGGGTTTAATATCCAATTTCAGATAAGATCCCTATATAACTTTCGTATCCACGTTTCAGTCTATTCTCTCAATTGCTCTACCAACCCCTTCATTCCTCTGTTTCCGCCCCCTCTCACTTTCTATCAGTGTTACTCCTTCTCTCCCCCTTTGATAAATATCTCTCCCTGCATTTGACTTGGAATCTAATTTATACTAATCTCCCTTTTATCCTTCCATTCATTTCTAACGATACCTATATATTTTCTTTCTTTCATCCTTTTTGATAAATACACTTCTCCTCTCATATTCTTTGAATTTTAATTTTTATTAATCTATTCCATGCACAACCCTCGTCCCTTCAAGATCTATTTTCTTCGTCCTCCTCACATCCTGCATATTAGTTTTATTTCCGCTTTAAACTTCCTCGTTCCTTTACAACTGATATTATCCCTCTGTTCTTTCCCCCTCATTTATTATATATTGTCTTAGATTCTGATACTATAAGCGCTTCCGGTCATATCATGTTCCCCTTCCTTTATTATTATTCCGCTTTAATTAAAATCATCGTACTCTTTCTCTCTCATCTCTTTTAGCTAACATTTAAAGTGATTAACATTAGTGTTCTCTTTCCTTTGAGAGGTTGTTGTACTTACACCCCTTTCATGTTCAACATTTCTCATCCATAAGCCTGATATTTATGCTGTCAGCTAAATCCACCCCTGTTAGACATGCGGGGAGTGGAAAATGATGGCAGGGATGACTTTCGTCCCCAAAGTTGAGAAACAAACTTCAAACACGCCACTGATATTTTTTTAGGTATCTCATAGCCAGCGTCTTACTTCACTGTCACCATTATCATACAGCGTTTATTCAAACCCTCGCCAGTAACAAGGTGCAGTTTCGGGTTTTCCGAAATGTTGATATTGGATTTAAATAGTGACAATAATTATAATAATCGCAACGTTTGTCATTGGACTACTTATTAATACCTAATCAAAGCGCGCTGTTAACAAACACTAAGAAACAATAAAATAAACAAATTAACAGGGTAGAGAGATAATGTTCAAGGAGATTCTTTCAAAGATCCTGCCAAACTCTGAAAAAACTCATGCACAGCATCGAAAAAATAGCCTCAATTTCGATTAAATCACATTCTCTCAGGCTCAATCTGTTAATAATCTAAGTACGTTGCATTTTAATTCTACAGTTAACACTCATTCCTTTAAGATAATTCCGGATTCGCGTTTCTATAGTTCGAAAGAACACAGCTCATTTTTCGGTCTGAGATATATTTATTGGTTTAATTAAAGATACTCTTTCAATTGCATACATTATAAATGGCTCCTAACGACAAAATAATGAAATGCGAATAATGTCGAGGTCTGTCTTAAGGTAGTGCTCCACTCTCAGCTCAAAGCAACTGAGGAAGAACACATTAAAAATATAGTCTGTCACCCAGTCGTGACCTGAACCACGAAGGCCCCCCCCCCCTGAATGAAGAATATCGACATTTATTCGGTAAATGAGCACGTGAGGAGAAACTCATCGCACTGTATGATACAGAACCTCCAAATGCATGTTCTGTCTAATGAGGTTAAGGGGCACAATCATATCAGGGCCCCTAACCGTCTAGGGCCTCCATTGTATTTCGAGAACACTTAGCAGCCGGATAAAGCTGTGGCTTGCTATTCAAGTGAATTCTGGAAACAACAAAAGCACGGCCTGAAAAGGGACCATCAGCTTATCAAGATGCGGTGTCAGTGCTGCTGTTGATTCTCTAATTAATTCCATTAACTGACCCTCTCAAGCACAGTATACAACCGGCCTTTGATGCTTAACGGGTACAATTAACGTGATTAAACACCTCAAAAGTATTTCATGATGTATATTTAGGTAGAACAAAAGTATTCTGGAGGAAAGGAATGGTGTCGATATTCTACACACACCATATTATACACCGTGCAGTGGTACATATAAAATATATTTTATTCGTTGTAATTGTATAATTCACCTTCAATATACAGGCTTAAGGTATATTCCGTCTTCTTGAAACTGTTATATTATTATCACTAATTATTACATACAATACACAGGACATAGGATTCCTTAGACTAAACCATAAAATTAACAGTCTGCATTACTCAGTAGAACTAAAGTTTAGCAGGTCTATTAATAAGTTTTCAAAAAATATAAATAACTTAATTCATATCACAGCAATCAGCTTAAAATTAACATTCATAGATGAGACTTCAGTGTCACTTAACGTATACACGAGGTTTTTGAACATGTTTTCCTAGTATCGACACATGTGACATACATATACACCCCGCGGGGAATAATTTAGCCACTACATAATTATGTTTTCCCTTCTTCATTTTTACATCGATTTTTACTCTAATTTCTTGACATCTGAAGTTTCCATGTTTAGAGCAATGTTTCTCGTGACACTCCCCACAGCTGTACGTCAATATCTGTTCTGGGTCCCTGTTTTTATCACGATCAATATGCGGAACAGATGGGCAAGGACCCACGTGTGTGCTTTCTACCAAATCAGGGTATATGTTTTTCACCATCTTAGTGTTAAGGTGACATCCCACGGAGTTCCAAACGTACTTCAACATTTCCTCCACATTCGATAAACCATATTTATGCATGTCAGAACTTTTCTGTAAATTTTAAACAAAAGAGAGTGATGAGTCAATGTGTATTTGACAATCACAACACAAGCATGTAAAATTGTTCTTTTTCATTCTGTGCATCTAAACTATCGACTCTACGGGGCCAATTATCTGCTACCCAATAAGTACAAATGGGGACAGACAACTTTGTAATATTCTGCGGTGAACGAAAAAATTACAAGCCCGTTTTCGATATTAATCGTAAGAAGTAATTTCTCCCTATCACAAATATGGCAATTCGTTACATCTCTGCCCCTTCGCTTGGTCAGGCTTGTTCATCTAATCCCCTGACCTGAAGCTGGTTTGTGCATAAAAGGCAAACATCCCTCTACACTAACACAAATTTGGCCGTAACGAAATACGCAGTTGGGTGCACTCAGTAATTCAATTCGCAATGCAGTTCGGTGAAGCTGCTTGAGGCGATTTTGAGATACTGGATCAGCGGATAAGAATCTTCCTACATATTTTATAGCACATTTTCTTTGTTAATATACATAGTCAACATAATTGAAAATAACACGGATAATTTCTGATCCATCTCCCCTGTAAACACAAGCTGTTTTACGGTTTGTTTGTATTTTATAATGATAAGCAAACTCTACCTGCGAAGTCAATATGCGTACACTTGTCCGTTACTGCATTTAATCAGAAAGATCAAGATTAGAACACAACTGCCCAGATAACGAGATGAATTCATTCACTGTTCTTATCTACACATTACAACCTTCAGTTCAACATAACCTTTAGCGGGTCTATTGTTTTGTTCCACTTAGAAGGGCTTATTATTCAAGTGTGCAAGATTAATCTATAGATATAAAACACGTTATTACATCCGGCTAACAAGTGTCAATGAAATAATAGTACAGAGATCGTTATGACATCCTGGCATTCAACAATAACAAGACACTTTCAAGAATATGACTGTCTTCTGTGCTGTAGCGCCGTGTAGTCTGGAAGAAGTTTTCCGGCGTTTTAGAGGCCCAAGTTGCCTCCATCATCACCCCGATCAGTCAGCAAGAACCTCTGAAATTCTGGTATACTGCTAACAGACTATATGGCGCTACACCACTGAAGACAGCTATCTTCGTACTCGCCCCCATGAGAACTTCATATCCTACAAGACACCCGTTCGCAGGGTAATCAACTAACGAAAACAGGCTCTGCACAAACTTCGGAGACATATGCTCTTCTCTCCTTGCCCATAAGGCGTATCAATATTACACCTAATTGAAGCATACAATATAAAATTTATGATATAAAACAAAAAATTCGTAAGAAGATGTCTGTCTTCTGCGTTGTTCCGCTGTGTAGTCTGGTCGATGTTTACCAACGTTTCAGAGGTCATACTGCCTCCGTCATCAGAGTAT